TACACAAACTCACATATATTACAGGAAGAGAAGTATGGATAAATTTCCCAATAGTTGCCTAGCAGAAGTATATACTTAGTATATGACTTACTAAGTGGTATTTCCTGTTATGGTGAGTCTGTCCTAACAACCTTGTTATAGACATGTTTTTGCACATTAACACATAGTGAAGACTCATTATCTTTATCAATGATGCGTCAGTTGGAGGTAAAAATTAGGTCCTTTTCAATATCCAGTGGTGACTGTGCTCCTAGAAAGATCAGTCGAGGATACAGTCTGAAAAGTTTATAGCTTAGGTAGGATTAAGTGCAGTGCCTCTCTAGTACACACCTGGATGTGACCATTGTGTCCACATGTTTTTCAAACCTGGCAGGAACAATAACCCCATTCAGAAATGACTTCTAAAAAGGCTATTTTTGCTGTGCTTGGAGGCTTGCGCTTGTAGCCCTAGCTACTCAGGAGGCTGAGGAGGGAGGATTGTTTGAGCCCAGGAATTCTGAGCCGTAGTGAGCTATGCGGATTGGATTCCTGAGCTAAATTCGGCATCAATATGGTGACCTCCTGGGCACAGGGGATCACCAGGTTGCCTGAGAGGGGGTGAACCAGCCCAGGTTGGAAATGGCGCTGGTCGAAACTCCCATGGTGATCAGTAGTGAGATCATGCCTGTGAGTAGCCATTATACTTCACCCTGGGCAACATAGCAAGAATCAATCTCTCTCTCTCTCTTTTTTTTAAAGAGCCAACCTTGGGAAGAAATGCCTTTTTTTTTTCTTTTTAGAGGACATTTCTTCCTAAGGTTGGCTTGTTTTAAGGATAGCCAAACCTACAGGTTGTTCTAATTGATATACTCATCTCACCAACACTAACGTTACTATTGTTTTTATTACATTTCAAAGAGGTCATCAAATCCATAAAAGTTCAGAACTTGGCAAGAATGGCCAGCCAGTAAATTCTGGACTTTCTCTTTGAACCCCCAAGTCTTATAATGCAAGAATGTAACCTCTTAATTGCTCTATTTGTACTACATTGTTATCTTTGGACTTTGCTGGATACCCTTGACCTCTCTGGTATTTCCTGTTATGGTGAGTCTGTCCTAACAACCTTGTTATAGACATGTTTTTGCACATTAACAACACTTCATGGAAGAAGCCCTTTGACATGAGACTTGTTCCTAAGTATTCCACTGGCTTTCCAAGTATAGGATTACCCTTTGATTACTTTATCTGGCTACCAGGACAGAGAAATTCTTGGGAGCCAACTAGCCATCGGGTCAACTGTTTTTCCAGGTTTAGTCCCCTGTACTTTCAGGTCTTCAGCCTCAATTTGACTTCCTGGCTTGTTCCGTGAGGATTTTGGAGTTACGTCAGGTGAGGAATCAATCCATCCAGTCTGAAATGTTGCTGGGAGGAGGGCTGTCTTTCTGTAACAGGGGAATGTTTTATTTATTTGAACTACAGGGTAAGTTATAGACTATAATGCATTGTACAATTGTTTGATTTTAAAGAAAACTCATTACAGCTTTACTGTTCCAAAACCGAACATCTTATGTCTGCATTCCTATTTATTATTATCTACTCTGGGCCTTGCAGATATTCTGTTTCCTGGCTCCTCTAACAAGTTAATTATTGGTATTAATCCTCTAACAAATTAGTTATTAATGTACATTGTACAGATAAGTGTGAATTGGAGAGAAAATAATTTTAACAAGATCAGAATGCCTTCCAGTTCAATTTGAATTCGAGGGCTTAATTCATGGCATTTTATAGTTCAAAGAAAACTTTGAATTGTTTAAGATATACAAACTCACATATATTACAGGAAGAGAAGTATGGATAAATTTCCCAATAGTTGCCTAGCAGAAGTATATACTTAGTATATGACTTACTAAGAGAGTGATCACAAGTGACTTAGGGAGCCCTTTGTAGGTTTCCCCTATTTACCTTTAGCCTTTTACCACATCACCAATGATGTCTTATTTTCATACTGCCTATAGAATTAAGTTAGTCTGTCCAAGAAGTCACTTTGTTTTACCCTGGTCCCAGTGCATTCCCAAATATCAGGGATTATATTCCCTTATTTTTACCCGGGCATTGGATGCCTCATGTTCCCTTATATCAAACCTTAAAGGTAGCTTTTAGGCAGAATCTGGTGGTGCCCTTTTGTCCTGAGGGCAGGACAATAGAAGAAAAACTAATTTGGCATTAGACTTTTTCATGGTGGACAACCTGCTGCTTATTTGGAAGACCTTCTTCATCTTCAGAATATTGATCCAAGTCCTTTGGGGCCGCTGCTACTGTCAGAGTTGTTTTGAGTTTGGCAGTACCTCTCCAAAGCCTCAAGGTAAGGGATGTGTGGTTTGAGAAGTGGAATACAAGTCCATAATCTATAGAATTCTAGAGCTTAATAGATGATTACTTCATTACCTTGATTATACCCATCAATTTTTAGGTGTGAACGTTGAGATCTGGGGTTGGGTGTAGGGTGGCTTGTGTGGGCTTCCCCAGGCTAGATTGAAAACTCAAACAAACTGCATGTGCCCCTATTACTTTTGTTTTTGGAGTTTAAGAAGTTTTAGAGTCTTGGCTTCTCATTTATTATACAACAAAAGGGAAATAAAAAGTAGGAGTGTGGGATAGTGTATAGCTGGTAAACATCTCCTGTAATACAAGTGTTGATGTTACTGGGAATTTTATTTGAAAGTTTTTGGGGAGGGGAGATAGCTTAGTGTAGGGCCCTGGGGGTTTGGGACAGGAGGGAAAGAGTGGAAGGGATGGAGGATCTATCTGGAATCTGTTTCAAAGAAGGAAAAACTGCATAGTGCTTTGAAGAAATTGAGCATCAGACCAAGAAGAAATGTGATCTCAGCAACCATCTTCATATCATCCCCAAGCCTGTCCCCCTATCTTGCTGACAAGTCATAGTCCTACTTTTACCCCCTTTTGCTGGTTTCATGTATTTTGAGGGTGAGCAATTGTCCATGCTCTGGATGAGTTCAAACACTGTGTGAGGGACCACTTGGTTTAAGACGTGGGAACTCTGTGGAAGGGATGGTTTCTTGTGATATGGGGCTGTGGTGTCTGTGTGATGGGAAGCATCAGAGAAGGTGTTTGGAGCAACAGGGAGGGAAGGGTGCATATCATCTAAGAATCAGGGGACATGGTTTTGTAACCTGTCACGTGCCCTGAAAGTCAGGAATGGCTGCAGTTCTATTACCAAGCCCTGACAAGCAGCCATTTTGGTTATTAGCAGTGACTTTGAAAAATTTCTCCTTTGCAACTTTACTATTTCACTTTCATCCTGCTCAGTATGTTGAAAATGAAGTTTATGAACTATCTTTATATAAAAGTCCCAACTTGTAATGCCTCCATTATTATATGCAGGCTTCCTCCCTGCCCCTTCCTTGGCTTCTAGTGCTGTGTTGCGGTTGATGGGCCAGCCTGCGTCCTGTCAGTGTTTTCTGATTACTTATTATTGTGTTCAATTTTTTGATTGATGGGAGAGGGGCAGAGGGACTAAAATGGGGATTGGGCTGTGGATTTCAAATGTTCCAAATAATCTTAGTGTTTGGTAAGTACAAGACATTTAAGCAACAAACACAACTACAGACATTAGAAGTCATCTGCTTCAGCAAGACTTTAAGCACTTCCTATATTCCATGTTTTACACTTGAGGGTATAGTTAAGAAAAGTTAACTTACTGAGAAGTTTCTTTGATCCTAAAACTATATTCACCTGATACAGGAAACCAGGTTTCTTCAAAGATGATGAGAATGCCTTGACAAGATGATAGGAACCAGCACTGCACATTTGTTCCCCAGGGAATGCTGCAACATGCAGACAAGGCCCTTGGTCACCTAATGTATGTATTTGTGAAATTCTGTGGGCCCCTTAGGATGGGAGCTAAAAGGGTTAGCTTTGGGTTAGCTGTACTTTTCACTAGCTTCTGCTTGACCGGATCAGAAGACTGCCGAGACAGATACTGCTATGCTGCATTCTTCATGTTCATCTCAGGGACTCACTGCATGCTATTTTTTAACTGCATGTGCTACTATTTCACTTTCATCCTGCTCAGTATGTTGAAAATGAAGTTTATGAACTATCTTTATATAAAAGTCCCAACTTGTAATGCCTCCATTATTATATGCAGGCTTGAATTGTTTAAGATATACAAACTCACATATATTACAGGAAGAGAAGTATGGATAAATTTCCCAATAGTTGCCTAGCAGAAGTATATACTTAGTATATGACTTACTAAGAGAGTGATCACAAGTGACTTAGGGAGGCCTTTGTAGGTTTCCCCTATTTACCTTTAGCCTTTTACCACATCACCAATGACGTTAGGAGATCTTGGATGGGACTCCAAAATAAATGATTTAAGAAATTCCATACCTTACATTAGGACTAGAGCTTGTAGTAAAGGATGTTGTGATATGGTTTTGACCCAGAAGGATAGTTTTGGGTATCAACCTCAAGAATGTCTGCAAAAGGTTTTCAATGAAGACAACAAAGAATACCTGTGCTTTCATCGGGAGAAGGAATGAGCCTGATAATAGTAGTGCCTTTTGCCTGTGGTACATGTAGCCAAAAGAGCTCTGTAATATCAACAAACATTGAGAAAGGTAATCTTTGGTCACTGCCAGCTGGATTGGCCAGTGCACCTTGTATTCAGTACTCTATATTGAAGTATCTGTCCTTTGACTGTATGCGGTGCTTATTGTACTTAGTTTTTAGGGCCCTGAAAGCTTTCTTTGCACTTGCTGGTTCAAATCCCAACATCAACTACATGTTAAATGCAGTCAGGAAAAGAATGATTTGGCTTATTTTAAACTTTAAGAGTAACATACTGACAGAGCTTATGAATATATATACAATAAAATTTATATAATAATATAAATATATAACTACCTTACACATCTTAAAATTTAGATCCAGCACACAAAATAGCATTTTAAAGCGAAATACTTTGGATTTTATGCATAAGGGAACTACAAACTGCACACTTTCCACAAGGGAGGGAATAAATACTTTTTTCTGTGTCCTTGGAGTATGGGTGGGATTAGTGGATATGTTTCTCTGGTTCGCCATTTCAGTGATGCGAAGGAGCCTCATGTTGCAGCACAGAAGATTTTTCATCGTTGGAAGTTAAGGTTAGTTCACCTTCATTGATTCCTTCCTACACTGGACTAAAGCATTTAATCTAGCAACACTTAGATCTCTACATAGCTTGTCATACTCTCTATCCATAGAAAGGGACTTTCTAGAACCTGTCAGTGTATTGTGAAATATCTCCTACATCAACTGATAATAAGAAATCAGAATTGCTTAATTACGGCATTAATAAAGTATCACCTAGATTGAATTAAGCAGAAAATTTTAGATGGGAGTTTACCATCACAAGCAATAAACGCACAACAGTCCCTGAATCCTAAAAAGGTGGAGTTCTTGGTGGTATTAGTGCGTATCTTCAAATTATTTGCTCTCTGGAAAGATGCTGATAAAATTTTGTCCACTACCATAGTATCCCTGCCGGATGGGAACCATATCTTTACAATAGAGTCCCCACCCATTGGCAATGTGACAGCTCTAAGGACAGTCATCTTACAAGTGGACATGAAGCTCTTAGTTTTTCTTTTTTCTTTTTCTTTTTTTTTTTTTTTTGGTCAACTGGAGTTCTTCTGCTATGGTTCCAAACCATTTACCTGGTAGACTGGGTTATATATTCCCAGTTAACCACTACTGGGTTAAGTGACCTAATGATATTAGTAGCCACTTAACTATTTTCAAGCATTCTGCCTAGGACATCATTTCATAAAATTAAGGTTTAACAGACGGAATCCCAACGTTAGTAGTATAACTAAGTTCTCTTAGCAACTTTTTATGAATGCCTTAGTAGTTCTTTGGCTTCTTGAAGAGCAGCTAATGCCATAACCCTTTTTAAATCGTCCATCTGCGGCCGGGCACAGTGACTCAATGCCTGTAATCCCAGCACTTTGGGATGCCAAGGTGGGCGGATCACAAGGTCAGCAGTTCAAGACCAGCCTGGCCAGCATAGTGAAACCCCGTCTCTACTAAAAACACAAAAAATTACCCAGGCGTGGTGGTGGGCACCTGTACTCCCAGCTACTTGGGAGGCTGAGGCAGGAGAATCGCTTGAATCCGGGAGGCAGAGGTTTCAGTGAGCCGAGATCACGCCACTGCACTCCAGCCTGGGTGGCACAGCGAGACTCTAAAAAAAATAATAAATTGTCCATCTGCTCCTGTTACACATGTTGACATATGCTGCTTTGCAGTTGCATTGTCAACATCCATTCCCGGATTATTGCTGTCCTGAAGTAGGATAAACATCTTAAGTAGTGCTACTCTACTTTGTAGCTTCGCTGGTTACTTTTTAAATTTTATGTGGAGACAATGTTTTCTTGCTATGTTACCTGGGGTGGTCTCAAACTCCTGTGCGCAAGCTATCTTACCACCTCAGCTCCCCAAAGTGCTGAGACTACAGGGGTGAACCACGGCACCTGCTCTGGTTTTTCAAATTGGGTTTGACATCCAATTAGCAGCTAAACTCAGCAAATGGAATATTTTGATCTGTGTATAATTGAAATTCCAATTTTGGCTTCTCTGGACAAAATGGGAAACAATGGAAATCTTTCATATGTATTTGCATGGCCTTGTCTTTTGGAAATAACAGGTGCAGTGCTGTCTTCTATTGTTTAGACAGTAACATTTTAGTAAGATTTTGCAGCTGAGAAAAGTACAGGTTCTTAAGGACTTCTTGGAGATAGTATTCATGCTTTCTCATATACACAGTGATAGGTGAATTGTGTTTAGGTTTTTGTTTTGGGTTGGTTTTGGTGCAATGTCTAATTACATTTGCCAACTCATGTTACCTAGTAGGGATATTTCCATTCTGTGCCAATTGATCTTGGGTACAATGAATTTGCTCAATAAAATTAAAGATTTGAAGGTTTGGTACTTGTTTTGAAATGGTGAACAACTAATGTGCAAATCTGTAGTCCCTAATGTAGCCTTTTGCTATCTGACATCTGTTTGACATACATTTTGTCAAATTGATGCACCTCAGACTTGAATACTTATGTTTTGCCAAATTTGTGTGATCACATTGTGTTACTAATGTGTAGCATCAGCCTGTAACTTCAGCCACCTACTTTTTATTTGTGGATGCTGCTTAGACACTTGCAAATAACACTACGAATATGTGGAGTTCCTTGACTGTCCACTGTGTTGCCCCTTTAGAGAGTACATTCCATGCACATTTCTTGTGCGTTTTCCAGTTTAATTAGGATTCCTCAGTTCTTTCCAGCCAATATTAAAGGTTTTAAAGGAACTATTCAATGCATTTCCATACCTATGTACTTTTTCTTGGGAGTGTGGGGTTGGCGAGGGGAGTCATGAATTTTTGGCAACATTGAGTAGTATCTTATTGCCCATATTTTTCGCATGTCTAAATGCCAAATTTTTTGATGTATTTTGCACAAATAACTCATTACTCTGAATCCTAGTGCTTTATTTGCCCTCACAATGTTGCCCTTTATAAATTGATAAATTTACGAAGAAAATTCCTCTTAATATAGCACTTCAGCAATATTGGAAATCAGTTATTCAATAATAAAGACATTTGACGAAGCAACCAACATTTTTAAGTGTAGAGGTATATATGCTTTGGTTCTTTAGCCTGAATGTTTCATAACCAAATTTGATTTCTTACCATTGTCATTTGCAAGTAATTTTAGAACTCCCTCTCCTGTATTGGTAGCATGTATTTTTCTAGCACATTTGTTATCTTAAAATTTTTAATTTGGTGCTTCTTCAGGGACTTGATGATGAATCAATTGAGTTCAAATGGTCCTCCCACCTTGACCTCCCAAAGTGCACTTAGAAGATTTGTTACTATAGCTCTTGGTAACCTCAGTGTACAATTTTTTTTTTTCTTATTCTGTTGAAAATGTTCGCCTTTTTCCTAAAGGAAGCACTTTGTGGCTTCTCTTTGGCACATCTGTATTGTTGGCATCACAACTCTTATATTGGGGCCATTGTTAAGCACTGTGTTACTGCAGCAGTCAATCTGAAGTGAGAAGGGTACTAAGTGACTAACGGGTGGTAGCATATAAGGTGGGGTATACACTGGAAAAGGGGGTAATTCTTTTTGCTGGACAGTTTGAGATTTCATTGCATTACTCAGAACAGCAGACAATTTGGAATTTATTAATTGTTTATTCCTGGAATTTTCCATATAATGTTTTTGAACCACGTTTGACCCCAGGTAATAGAAATTTTGTAAAGGAAAACCATAGATAAGGGGAGAATACTGTAACTTTAGGCTTCTTTCCCCTCATTTCTGTTTTATTTTGTTTTTTTTTATTGTCAGGAAGTATGTTCAGTATGGCCTCCTTGTGTACACAAAGTAATTTTTGGTGGAAGATAAAGTACTACCATTAGTTCACACCATGTCCTGAAATTATGTTGGATGCTTGTTATCATGGATTTGATTCTCATGGGGATATTAATACAGTACCCTGGTCGATGTGTTAGTGAGCCAAAAATATGTTTGAAAATGTTCATGGATGTTTGCGTCTTTTTTTTTTTTGGCTTGTTACAAGTTCTGGTTTATAGGTTTCGACTTCCTTTGCATTGTTGGAAGTGTGCCCAGTGTTGCTACCTTGTAGACTCAAAGACTTTGTGGAAATTCTGTAGTACCACCTTAGTCCACAGTACATCCTTCTGAATAGTTGCATGGCTTGCATAACTAATTTGGTGTTTCTAGAGAGAAAACTAATATGGTAACCTAATCACTGTGCTATGTTTGAGGATTTCCAAGGGTGCATGATGTATTTTTTGCATTTTTCTAGTTACAGTTCCTGACTTATGGACTGCATAGGTATTTAATATTGTCTAGTAAAGTGTGTTGATGTACAATTTCTTGTTTAATTCAGTACTATTATTAGCTACATGGTTCTGCTTTATCGTTACCATGAAACTAAATATATACTGATTATCTTCATCAGGCACCAGTGTTAGTGTGTTTCTCCTAAGTGAGTTGACTTCATGGGAGTTCATCATGTCTGTGGATTATATTTTAGTGTTAAAGGCTTAATGTACTACTGTTTCAAAACTTACAAGTATTGGTATTTCACATGCTTTTAAACTTTTTTTTTTTTTTTTTTTTTTAATACAAGGTCTCTCTGTCACCCAGACTGGAACATGGTGGAGCAATTATAGCTGATGGTAGCCTTGATCTCCTGGGCTCAAGCCATCCTCCCGCCTCAGCCTCCTGAGTAGCTGGGACTACAGGTCTGCACCACCAGCCCAACTATTTTATTTTATCTTATTATTTTATCCGAGACAGCGTCTCAGTATGTGACCCAGGGTGGTCACAAAGTCCTAGGCTCAAGTGATCCTCCCACCTTGGCCTCCCAAAGTGCTAGAATTACCACACCTGGCCTATGTGTTGTACTTTTGTTGCAGTAAGTTCAGTTGACTTTTGTTAAATGCACCCCAGTGAGCACATGCCCTGTGGTAAGTCTTGTTATGTAATAAAAAACATGGTATGTATCAATGTACTTTTCCTATAGTTGTCCTCTGTCTTTCCAGAGTTTTTTTTTTTTTAAACGGTCATCTAGTGTCCATAAATATGATGCAGTAATGAGTGATGGTTTAGTTTTGCTGGTGTTCTCTAGCAACCCCTATTATATACTTAACAATATTTTCATTCTCATCTCACTTTGGGTTTCAAAAATAATTTTTTTTCATGGCAAAATTTGTTTAGGTAGTGCACTTTAGTGTTGTCACCTGGTGGTTCAACACATTATGGTGCTTTACACGTGTAATCTCATTGTTTACCTTTAATTCAACGTTGCTATTTAGAATGGGTGCATTCTAATACTATTAACCACTTAACCTGTTGCCACTTCAATTGGCTGTCTGAAGTTTTGTCTGTTGGTAAAGTGTTAGCTATAATGAGTTGCTAACCATAGGTTGAATGGTTCTTGAGGTACTGTCACTTGCCATATTATGAAAGCACAGGGCCATGATTTGTCATACTGCAAAGATTGACTTAACTACTTTAACAAGAAACGTATTCCAGAATTTTATCGTGGTGTGCAGTCATTGCTTCTATCTTGCTGTCCTTTATTAAATAGTATTAATTTACACCATAGTCACCAAGAAGACTATATTTTGGTAGGCTTTGGGGTTTATCTGCCAGTAAGAAAATTTATTTTCCACTGCTTTATACTGGTAGTTAGATATTATTATATTTTCAAATCTTTCACTGAAAAATATCTAGTTAGGTCAGTAAGCCCTATGTATTGTAGATGTGGTTCTGCTAAGGTTTTTCACCACTGGTGGTTGAATGTAGGGTACCTTTATCTAGTTTTGAGTTTCTTTAGTGACTCATTTTTGCAGTCTTACCTCTGCTACTCCTCTATTAGATTATTATTTAGCCCAACAGTATTATGGGATCATTTGAGTTCATGGCATCATTGGAAAACTTCAATATTCTGTTGGATGAAAGTGTTTCACTTATAGTACTAATCGCCATGTGGTATTCCTTTACTTTCCCTAACATTTGCTGGTTTGTTTTTATTGTGTATCTACAGGTATTGAGTAGTTAGGTGCTTGTACAAATCCTCTACCTTCACTCATGGTCAATAAATTGTAAACATTACCTGGGGCCAACTTGCCAATGGTTTTACAGTTAACAAATGGTATTTCAAATTTGTAGTAAGAACAAATGCTTTGGAGTAGGAACACTTATCTCAGCAATCCTGCTAAGCACTATACCCTGGATAAGGTAATTACCTTCTTTTGTAAAAAAAAAAGATGTGTGATCTAATTCATACAATATAAAGTTCACAATTTTAAAGTTTAGTGACTTTTAGTATATTCATAGAGTTGTGCGACCATTGCCACTATTATAGTTTACAACATTTTCATCACCACCTCATTAGCACTTATTCCCCATTTTCCTTTTGCCAACCCTGACAACTACTAATTTAGCTTTTTGTCCCTATGGATTTGTCTATTCTGGGCAGTCATATAAATCATGCAATTTGTGACC